GCTCTTCCGAACAAAAAAAAAAAAAAAAAACTTGAAGGGAAACAAAAAGAAAAAGAAACCGCTAACAAACATATTTAGCGGTCACATGATTCAAGTCATGTGAGCTCTGACCCATAAATTATTTGAAAAACACGAATTGTGACTGTGACTGACATCTGTGGTAGTACAATAAAACAATACATAGGTCAATTTTTCTCAGACAACTGGAATCTTTGTTAATTTGTACCATGGTCCATTTTTGACAATTTGAGTTATTAGTCTATTTTATAGTATGTGTATTAATATTAATTTATTGCACTGTCACCTTGTATCTCGTCAAAGCGAAAACTTAATATAAGTTAACAAAGTAAAAGAAGGATAACGGTATATGTCAAGTATAGTATAATAGTATCAATATAATAAATAATAATATAATTAATAATAGCATCATACCGTATGTTATTAGTATAAATGCCTTCATGATAGTAGGCCTATACTTTTGACTTTATAACTTAACTGAAATTAAACTTTATTTTGGATTTCATAAAACACATTTCTGATCGATTTAATTTTTGAAATTTTTGTTAAATTTGTAATTTGTAAACATAGAAATGTTTATTTTATTTAGAATTGAGTGGTCTAGATTAGAGTTAGAGTAATTAGATTTGGTATGCTGTGATTTGTGATTGTTTACACAACTGAGGAAAATACGAAAGGGGAAATTGAAATGGAATTCTACAAAGTCATTAAATTGTTGTTGGCGTTTCTTTTCTTCGCTTTAGGAGCCATTCATCAGAGCTACGCAAGTGAGTAGACACTTATTTATAAAAGGCAACTTTGACTTGAGACTTAGTATGTTTAAGTTTATTTTTGTTTATTATTAATTATTATGTTTTTTTAAAGTTTATTATTAATATTATGTGTATAGTATGATTTAAGATTTTTATTTTAATGGCTTCATTTCTTAAAAGTATTAACTAATATATGGAAAATAATAATATAATGATATATTTTAATATTATAATGACTTTTAAAAAGTCTATTCTCATTTAGGCCCTATAATTTATTTTATTAAAACATTAACATAGGCACAATCAAATTGGGAAGTACTTACTGTGAAGATCGAACTTGTAAATTTGTCCCAAATGTGTTGGACTTCAATAAAGCTACTGCTGTGGGAACCTTCAATGATGCTATTCTCTCCACTGGATGGGGAATACTTGACATAAGTGCTGGAAATGTTCCTGTAAAAGGCCAGACAGACGCTGATATTATGTTTGCCGCTGGATTTGTGGAAGGTGTTTTAACAGCAGAGTAAGTTATAATACACATTTAGACAATATATAATTTTAAAGTTAATGTGTGTAAGAAATAAACATTTAATTGTTTTTTCCAGCTTTTACATTTTTCAACGAAATGGGCCGTCTGTAAAAAAGACATCACTAACTTTGTGTGATGATTTATAGAAATATGGATATTTGCCAAAGTTGCTTGACGTCATTTATGGATAACTCCAAAAATAACATGTGATGATATACATAAGAGCCATGGAAGGACTTACGTTTTATTTGTTTTCTTTGATTTATTTAGATCAGGGTATCCGGCCCACCGACAGTACTTGCATTTGCTTGATTAAATGTATGTTTACCCACAGAGAAGGAAAACTTGTTGAATTTTGCCGTTGCTAACCCGATGTTGAGTTTCTAAAACTGAAGAACTTTGCCACTGGTATGGCATCAGTGTTTGGAACAACTTATGTCTGTGAGCAAACATTTTCAAAAATAAAGTATGTCAAGTCAACACATCAACAGAGATTTACTGATAAACATTGAAAAACATTTCTCTTGATTGGATTCAGCAAATCCAAACCAAACATTGATGATATCTTGAAAGCCAAATGTCAGTTTCATAAATCTTACAAACCTTTCTTGCTGCTTAGCATGTGATATTCGAAAATGTGCGCACTATGTCTGATGTAACTATCTCTTTGCTAACGTCACCTTCTTTGATAACTTTTTTAGAAAATAAATATGTTGGTTGTCTTTGTTTTTTGTACAATGCACGTCACTCACCCATGATTAACATGGAATACTAAACTTAGTTTTTCGCCTTATTTCCCCAGAGTATTCGTTCTGGCTTGAAAGTATTGTACAGAATGATTATCCGGCCCACGTTTGTCATTGCTTCCATTATCCGGCCCGCCTTGAAAAAAGTTTGGAGATCCCTGATTTAGATTAACAGAAGATCCCCCCATCCCTGTGGTGCTACAGCCCATGTAGGGCTTCAGCCTGCCTCACCACTTCCTTCCTCCTAAGTGATGTTTTTCTTTTCCAGCATCTGTAGGTCTTTTTCCACATCATCCACACATCTAAGCCTAGGTCTGCCTTTGAGCAGTTTTCTTTTGGGGGTGTTGGTGGTGCATCCTCTTCACCCCTCTGACATTTGGCATTCTTTCTAAGTGTCATGCCCAGCGTAGCCTGCCCTTTTTTTGATCTATGCTTCTAGCGTGGAATCCAGACATAGTCTTTACAATTCCTGGTTGGTTTGTATTCTCCATCCATATTCATCCAGATTACCAGAAGATGCCATGTTGCTATTATCACGCAATAGAAAAAATTTATTATTTCTTCATTAGAATATAACTTTCAAAAATTGAAACTAAAATACTATGTAAGCAATTTCAACATAAGGGATACTCTATCAACAGGCAGATGGAATACCAGTTCATCAACCTGTTTGACACATTTTTTCCAACACCTGTGGATGAGAATCTGTTAAAGGAATTAGACCAGTGGTTTATCAAACAAAGGCACTGGGCAGACAACATGATCAAAAGCTATCCTGATAATCCATTTTGGCGCCATGCATCATATATTTTTGCACAATTAGATGGTCTTTTAGCAGGATACAAATCTACTTTAAGTAAAAGCAATGTAAGGTATAAAAATAAGTATAATGTTTACTTTTAATCTGTGTCTATATAAAAAAAAGCTTTAAATATGTATTTTTTGTGAAGTTCTTTCCTTGTAGTAGACTCTGAGGGTGGGTCCAAGCTAGAAGGTCTATTTTAAAATATGTTACAAAAGTATTTTTACAGATTTAGAGTTAGTATCACTTTTCAAATAATAAGTTCTGCAAGTTTCAATGATTTAGAGATATCATTAATTCTAATGTCAACATTATTGAAATCAAAATGAAATATTTAGTAAATTGCTCTCCTTATCTTGCTTTTATTATTGTACTCTCCCATTTATATCTCATGTGTGTTGCTGAATTTTTTATTTTAAGCAGTTAAGTTCTACAGTGAAAAAATGTTGTTTTTATTAAATTTCAATTTTCATCTACCATTCGAACAGGTTACCCTTGATCTGTTTGCTTTAAATTTCCTCAATGCTAATGGTGACTTGTTTGACCTGCTGAAAGTCTTAAAACCAAGCTCAATTCAAGATTGGAGGAGATTTTCACAGCAGGAAGCAAGAAACTATTTCTATTCAACTGGTCACTGCTCAGTTCTTATCAAGGTTTTAAAAATAGATTTAATGCAGACCTGTTTACTCTTGCGATTGTACGATTTTGAGGTGTATACATTATATATACTGGATGTTTCTTTTTTTACTATAAAGATGATGTATTGAATGATTATGTGATGATATTGTACGATTTTGAGAGTTTGAGGGTAAACTGGTCTGTTTAATGTGTAATTTATTGACAATTAATATTTTATTTAAGCATCTTTAAACTTTTGTTGCCAACTTAAACTTAGAAAAGATAATTATTTAATTTTTGTCATTTTTTTAAAACTACAAAAGCCACTGTGCCTATCATATGATGGATTTTTCTTAAATTTTGGTATTCATTACAAGATGATAACTATATTCCATTTATTTTTTATTTTTTAAGCTGCTACCAGGCTTTGAGAATCTCTTTATGTCTCACTCCAGCTGGTTTGTTTATGCTGCCACTAATAGAATATATAAACATTACAATTTGAATGTATCAGATTCTGCTACTGCTTCAAGGAAGATCTCTTTCTCCAGCTATCCAGGTTAGAGTTAAGATTTGTGTTTTTATCTCGAAAAATATTTAAAAAATTTCTTTCAATATTCACAGTGACATTTTAATTTTTTGTGAAACATTTTCAGATAATCTACCACTATCAGTTAACCATAACCATTATTTGCAAATTTAGAGAAAATGTCAGACTCTGGGTCTCTGTCTCTAACCTTAGCCATGATTCATTTATTAATACTAATTGAAACAAAAACAAATATTTTCATGAATATAGTTATTGAAATAATTAGCAGCAATTTCAATAACTATATTCATGAAAATAACAGGTTTGCTAGAAAAACAATTAGCAGCAGTTTTTCTAGCATTAAACCTGTTATTTTTTTTTTAAATATATTTTAGAGGTCCAAGTATCTGGTAGTACAATATATATAAATGGTGGAAATGTGTATCCATAATCTTAGTGTAATTTTAAATTGTTGGGGCTTGGAAACTATTAACTTTGGTAATGACTACAATTAAATTTAAAAGTAGATTGAATTAAGGCCTAACAATTTATATTAAAATTCTGCATCATGAGACATCAAACTTGTTGTTGCATTGCTTCCCTAAAAATGATTTCTCAAAAATAATTTTGTTAGGATACTTGGAATCTCTGGATGACTTCTACCATCTTGGAAGTGGAATGGCTATGCTGCAGACCACAAATAACATATTTAACAGCTCCCTCTACGAGTATGTATCCCCACAGTCTCTGCTAGCCTGGCAACGTGTCCGCATTGCTAATATGATGGCCAGGAGTGGCAAAGAGTGGACTGATGTTGTTGCCAAATACAACTCTGGTACAATATTTAATATTTGCCCATTCTAGACTTGTACATCCTCAGTCAGTAGATTATTAGTTTACTATGATCAAGTAACTACCCTGTTTTTAATTTTGTTGTGCTTCAACAAATTATACACTATGCAAGAATAAATTTGATATTTCCCTTAAGCCTTACATAGCTTCAGTCTTAATTGTATTAATTATTTTTAGTGCAAAATATTATTAATGTCACATTCTTTACATCATGACACTTCTACATTTCCTACCCTCTACTAGTTTAAGCCTACCAGACTAGATTACAGGTAGATTACATAAAAATACATTTGACTGAATAAACAAATGATTCTAATAATTATAATTATTTGCTTAAAATATTGATATATTTGATTTGAAATGCTTAGGCATTTATTTTATAGTCAAGATTTCTTACCTGGCATATAAATTTCTGATTAGGCATATAATTTTCTGTTACACTAAATATTGGCGGTACTTCAAACAAAATTATTTATGACACCATACTAAATAAATGTGAGTGATTTATTATGCACTAAATTTTGATATTGAAAAAAATTTTGTTTGAATTCCCATAGGTACTTATAACAACCAGTACATGGTTATTGATTTGAAACTTATTAAATTAGGACAACCGCTTCCAGATAATACTATCTGGGTGGCAGAACAGATTCCAGGGTTGGTTGTTGCTGAGGATCTTACCCCAATTCTTCGAGCAGGTAAAGCTCAATTATTTGAGGACCTGCACTGAACATATTTTTATATATAAGTAGGCATGCAATCCTATCTGAACATAAATAAATTAGCATATAACTGAAAAATATTCATCACTCTTAATGAAGCTTAACAGTTTGCATATTATTATGTCATAAAGAACACTTAACAATTTCTACTTACTGCTTTATAAATTTCACATATTTCAGGATATTTCCCATCATACAACATTCCATTTTTTGAAGAGATTTTTAACAAAAGTGGTTATCCTGAGTATGTAAAAGTTCATGGCACAGAGTTCTCATACCAACTGGCACCAAGGGCAAAAATATTTCGCAGAGACCAGTCGAAGGTGAAAGACATGAAGTCCATGAAGGCTGTAATGAGAAGCAATGGTAAAACATATTGTTATATTTAACCCTACCAGCCCTGAGGCCCTGAACCTAAGTGTCCTCTATCCCTGGGCATTAAAGAGAAAAAACCAACATGATATATAAAATGTTTGTTCCATGCAAACAAGTGGTTAGAATCAGATAGAACTTGGAGACATTGTAGAAAATAGGTCTACCATTCATCTAGCACAATTGTGTGCCAATCCACCCAACAAGATGAACCTTGTATTTCTTGCATTTCTGGCACATGTGTTATTGTAGCAATGCGGCATCTATGGGAAAAATGCATGTTTGAATGTCTGTCCAGAAAGTGCTTAACGAAGGAAAATTTGATTAAAAAAATATTTCCCCAGTGTCTGAGGTTGAGACAGCAGTTAAATAAGCATGAGATAAAAATTGATTCTTTTGAATAGCAAAAAAAAAAAATAATAATAATAATACCTTTTTTTAATTTATTTTATTTGTAGACGTTAAAAAAATATAAACTTTTCAGATAAATTACCAACTGAATCAAAATTATTTAATTGTTGTAATAATTAAAATTATTTCTGACTTTAGATTATAAAAATGACACATATAGTGGTGGGAGTGCCTGGGGTGCTATTTGTGCAAGGGGAGATCTTGTAGATGAGGCACCATCTGCATCTGGTTGTTATGACACCAAGGTAGGAATGTCGTTATTTTGGACTGTTAAGTCTTTTCATATATATATAACATTTTGTTTATATTTTTTGAAATACCTTTTTTTTAACAATCACTTTTCAAGAAGCATAAGGAAAATGGACCTATAAAATGGCTCAAAAGCTCAATATTGATTTTTTCAAAATAAACAAGACAACTTCACTTTTTTTACATTTATTAAGAAAATTCAAACAAAACTAATTCTTTCTTTAAGACTTGTATTATTTCTGTAGTGTGTTTAAAGAATGTCAAGCAATGACCTTTTTTTCTTATCTCAATAGGTGTCAGATTTTAAAATGGCTCTCAAGTTTCAAGCAGACATAATTAATGGCCCTACAGTAGACTCAGGGCTGTCACCATTTTCCTGGACTGGAGACTTTGCCTCCCTGTCGCATGTTGGACTACCACAGACTTACAATTTCACTTTCATCCAAACAAAACCCAGATTTTGATTGTTTTTGGTTGTAATCAAATAATATTTTTGAAATTGTAGAGTAATTATGACCACCATCACCTCATTCTCTCTAACCCCTTTTCCTCCGCCTCACCGCCTATGCCCTACCCTCTAGTCTAAATAAGGGTTGCACAGATAAGCAGATTGGTGAATTGCCACACTGGCAGAGCAAATCAGCCTATTGCCAATTTATCGGCACTGCTACACCTGTCAATATGGATTAATGGGCCACCAATTATATATTATGAACTTATTTAAATTTGCTTTCAAATGCTTGTTGTACCGGTAATTAAAAACTGTAAAATTATACTATTTCGTCATGAATCACAATTGTAGAGAAACTATTTATGTATAGAGCAGAAATGAGCTCTCCTTTTATTCCCAACATTTGAGCCATGAGCACAGACCAGGATAGCACTGGTATTTACCTAATGTGGTACAAATTTGATCAAATCCCATTAAATCAATCCAATATTCTATCAATACTATTAAAACCACCTAAATTTACACGTGAACCCCACCCCTCAATAAAACCACAATTAATTCATTACTAAATCGCAGGCTACAAACCTAATTAATTTTTTTTTTTTTTAACTGGAGAGTTGAATTTTTACCTTTTCATTTTAGCAATTTATCTGCTTTGTGCAACTTCAAAACTCTTTACATGGATGTACATATTCTTCTACAAGGTTCTACTGAGCAATGAATGAAATAAACCTGCTAGTATTATAACAAGTAAAAAAAACTTTTTTATTATATGCAATGTCTCATCTTAAACAAGTGTGAGGCTTTCAACTGCGTTCAAGACTTCCTATTTGTGATATTCAAACACCTGAACACGACTCACAATATTCAGTTATCATTTAACTAATTTTTCTTTTTTCAAATTGATATGGTTTGTAACAATATAACTTATTATTACTAAAGAATTATCAAATTTGACAGAGCTTAAATGTACAATGGCAGAGTTCAGTGCCATTAGACAGTGAGTAATGTTGTTTTCTTAGTAAATCACAAAATGCATTGTACATAGCACTTGAAGATTCATCTTTTAAGGCAATGACAAATTATTAAGCTGTTAAATAAACATAGCTTGATGTGATGCATTGAAACAGCATTTTTCAAAATATTCTTTCACTTCGATGCTATTTTTATAACAAGAAAAATTTACTTAAAACTTTTTCAGAACTCTCCTGGCAATAATTTCAGAAAAATAGACGCACACATAATAATAAAGTTTATTTGAAAAACACGCTTCATCCCCAAAAGCTCGAAGCGCGGTACAAAGTCAACCATATTAAAAAGAGAACTAAAAAACAATATAAAATTTACCACATTTGTGAAATAGATGTGTTTTTAAATCAGTTTTAAAGAACTCCAGTGTGTGGCTGTTTCTGAGAGCGACTGGAAGGGAGTTCCAAATTGTTGGGCCGCAAACACAAAAGTGCGCTTTCCATAAGTCTCAAGGAGAACACACGGTATCGATATTTTGCCACTATTGGACGAGCGGAGCTGTCTAGTGGGTACATAAGGCGTCATGAGTGCTTTGAGATAAGATGGCACCAGGTCATGTAAGCAGCGGTAGCACAAAGTTGCAATTTTGTACTCTATGCGAGTGCGGACTGGCAGCCAGTGCAGCTCTCTCAGAAGTGTTTTAGCATGGTCAAGTTTGCAAAGAACAATGCGAGCCGCATTATTCTGTGCTCTTTGAATTTTATCCAGGAGCGTAGCTGGGAGACCCACCATGAGAGCATTGCAGTAGTCCATTCGTGATAACACATATGCAGACATCAGCCTCCTTGATGCATCTAACGTTAAGAAAGGTCTGATATGACTAATCCTGCGCAGCTCTAGAAAAATCGCCTTGCAAAGCATGTTAATGTGATTTTCCATAGACACCCAGGTTTCGCACTGTTTGAAAAAACTCAATCTGCATATCTGAGAGAGTAAGTGATGTTTTTTACAGATTTTTGTTTCTGAGCAGTGGCAATGGGGATCAGCTCAGTCTTTTCATATATACTGATTCTGTAGAATTCTTATCACCTTGAACAATTGTTTCAAATACGTGTCTAATTATATTAATATGCTACTAGAACTGATTATTGTCTATTGGAAACTTTGTGGGAAAGAGTAATTTTTATTACAAATTTCAAAATCTGCTGAAAGCCTTTTTTAAAAGTGATCTGATTAACAAGGATAATAAGGGTGGTCGAGTCTGCAATCAGGTTAGGCGTTTTATTGAGAAGGCTTTTGCCGACACGTCTGAGAACGCATAACAGCACAGTAAAGCACACACACAGCTGGTCATCTAATGCATCCTTGTATATTTGATTTCGTCACGCTATACTCCATTGTGTCAAATAGGCAAGGATCAGAGAGTTAGGCTGATGAATTTAGCAACTCCCTCACTTTAAACAAAATACAGCTCAAGTCAAGGCTGCTTCTCCAGTTGAAAATTGACTTCGTTATATTCACATGCCAAGGATGAACAACATCACTTAATTAACAGGGTTTGTCCAGGCAATATAAATGTGAGCAATTAATGAGTTACTGCCTCTGCCCTCTTACTTCAATAATCCAATTCTGTTTTTAAATTAAAACACATTTCACATCTACTGCTGTACCATAATCATATGGATAAAAATATAAGGACATTAAAATTGAAGTCTGTACATTGTGTAATGGAAACAATACAAATTTATGTCATTATTACTTGATGACAAAGAGCTAAAAGAATCATGAAATGAACACATTTTCAATCAAACTAGACTTTTATTTTCAAGTTCAATATTATATTAAATTATCCAATTACCTACAGAAAAATAATGTGAAACAAATAAACAAACAAAAATTACAATTAATTATAACAGTACATCACTTTCATATTACCAGTAGATTTGATCAGAATAGTAACCAACAAAACAAGTAGAAAAGTCTTAAAGTAATTACAAAGTGGTATAAGAAATTTTACAGTTATACTCCACATCAATGAATGCTCTTGATTTTAACATGACACATTTTATTTTAATAAAAGTATCTTTGCCAAATATAAGAAAATGTTGATTTGTAAAGAAAGGAACTAAAAACTTATGGGCTTGCTCATAAGTTGGTATGCTTTAACTTTCACATGAAACATATCCATGTCTAGCTCAATTTCGACTCTCATTTTGAGATCATGGTTACTTGTGGAATAATTCTGATCTTAGCTGGCTCAGTTCATTTCTAGAATTTAAAAATATTTAAAAAATCACCAAGAACTGTTCTTGATCTCATTTTGAAGAAATTATATAATTTTTAAAATTCTGCTAGAGGTAATAAATGCATAAGTGACCTGACACAGTACAAAGAAGTCAAGGGATTATGAAATCATCTTCTGCAGCAAAGAGAATTAACTAATCAAATCTAAGCAAAAATAACATTAAATTAATGTTTAAAAATATAAATTCATTTCCATAAAAAATATACAAGCTTTGGAGGCTTTGAGAATCAACTGATGCATAGATTTAACTTTTATTTGTATTCCCACTCCCTAGTGTATTGTGCACCTTTCTTATATTATGTATAGCAATCTTTCAGTCCTTTCTTCATCATAACTTTTTAAAAAAATGTATATGCACTGGATTTATTTTGAAACTAAGTTCATATTTAAAGTGAAAAATATCCTTGTACTTTCAAGCTAATCTTATACATATTTTTGTTGGTAAAAAAAAACTTTTCTACAAATTATAATTTTGATACATGATTAGCATTGGATAAATAAGAAAAATCTTTACTTTTATTCATAGAAATTATTTAAAATAAAGACTGATCTTTTCTTACACAGTGGAACAATGTGATGGCAACCTTAAGGGACTTGCAAAGTGAATTGGTTGTGATCTGAGCAAGCGTCCTTATAAGACAATCCACTTTGATAATAAAATTCTCTATTAAAATCAAAATTATGATGCAATCACCTTACGGTAATCCATGTAATCCAAGAATTTTCTTAAACTAATAAAAATGGTAAATAATCAACACAAATTAAATAGTAAATATCAGGTGTAAAATGACTTTGCTGAGATAGTAACAAAAAATATTTATGGCATTGGCAGTTAATTAAAGCTTATTGACCAAACTAAATGATATATATATATATATATAAGAATGTTTTTATGTAGAAAAATTTTCTGTTTTTAATTTTCAAATCAGTTCTACAAGAAATTTTAAACTCAATGAAATGTTTTTAAAGGTAAACTTAAATTGTTTTATCAAAATACTGGGAAAATAGAACTCAGAACTTGGAAGTTACAATAATTCAAAACAGTAAATTAGCCACTTGTGCGTTTGCGTGTGTTGAATTTACCACTCATTAAAGAATATGAAATGATTTTTATAAAAATGTAAAATTAGGAATATAAATCGTAGAGAGCTTATTTCCTTCATTTGAAGACAAATATTGTTTTAGTCCCTGTACATTACAAGAAATTAAATTGATATCACATTTTAAATATGGTTCCAGATATATATATATATCACGGCTAAGTAGTGCTACTTTGTAATCGCAAAAATACAGTTGAATATATGAAAGTATGATTTCAAAAACTTTAGTCACTATTTAATCATGATAAAAAAAAAAGGAAATCATACAAATACATTTTTCTATTTTTCCTGATGGCTAAATACATTTTAATCTGAAACCAGAAAAATGTCTTTATGACATGCATATATTTACGAATTACTACAACATGAAACAATGCCCTGGCTATGGTATCTCATCACCTCTCTGATCTTAACCTTGATTGTGCCTATTTCATCTGTCACATACCGACCACCTGACCTGCTGAGATCAGAAGAAATAAACTCAATCAACAGCTGGCCCAATGTAGGTGATCTAAGATCTTCTGAAAGTTGGTCACTAGGTACAACATCCTTTTCTTCACCTTTCTTGGCACCAACACATTTTGAGACCTGGGTTGAGGCTACTGTGTGAGGCCAGACCTGAAGGAAGAGGGCAGCAGCGTGTTCTGGGCCAATGGTCAGAGTACCCTCACAGCTCGAGCAGCTGGCTTTCTCATCAGCAGATAAACCTGTCATTTTCAAGGAGGGTTCACTGTCAACAGCTTTTCTGTGAAGAGAGCTCCAACAGGCTGTGTTGTTGCTGCAAGATGTTGTACAACAAGAATCTGTGGAACTGGTCCTGGTTTCATTCTCCAAAGTCGAGCACTGCCCATCAGTTTGGATAAAGTTCAAGAACTTAGATTTCTCCTCCGATGTTTTATTCATAAAGTATGCCTTGGCAGCTTTGAATGTTTCCAATGACTCCAATTCATTGAGCAGGTTTTTAATGATACATGTAACTTTTTCGTCTCCCTTTACCGGCTGAGGACACCGGATGACAAAGTTATCTTGATGGTCTGTCTCTTTTTTATAAGGCAGCGTTAGACCAAACACAGTGATGAATAAATTGTGTCTGCTTTTCATTTCTGACAAGTGAGTTAATGCCAGATCAACTATTTCTTTGGGACTTAGCAGTTTTCCGACAAGAGAGCTCAAGCCCCTGAACAGAAAAGAAAATATATTACAAGTAATACTGGAAGGAAGGAAAGAGAGCGGGGGAGGAATTTGAGATACAAATTTTTAAAATCTGATCTCAGTGCTGCTCAGCCTAATGAGCATTAATTTAGAATGATGTAGTAGACAATTATACAATATCCTTATTTAATGGTAATAAATACCCTGATATAATCAGTGAAACAGATTCACAAATTTATAAGCCATTTACACACGGCAGTCGTTCATTGATTTTAAAAACACACAGCGCCAGTAATCCAAGCTTATTTGTTTGCTGCAACATAACACACAATCCTCTTTGAGTACTCTTAGGCTTTTTATATTTATTTGATAGCAGCCAATCATAAATTGAATTAAATTTGTTTTTAGACATACTTTGTCCAATCTTGAGCAAAATTTGTTAATTCTGAACACTGTTTGCCTTTCCCCTTATCAATGGTGAATGTGCAGGACGGTCTGAACAACAGCAGACTGGGTTGATTCTTGGCACTAGATAAAATAACATATCCCCGTGATCGACCTGTGGGATAGAAACACACCAAGTTTACAACCAATGAGTTTAAGTGGTTTACTTGGGCCTGGAGTGGTCATAGTCTTGTTGACAGTACATATAACTGT